GAAGATGAACAAGTAAAAATCCTAGGAACAGAAAAGAGATGGTTTGAAAGGGGAGTAAAGGAAGCGATTTTTGTTAAAAAATTTTCACCCTCTCTGAACCGTGAAGGAGGTATCAGATTTAACCTGTCTCCTATTTACAATAACTTGTTGACCAGTAAGGGACATAGACATGCTGATCAGGCTAACTGATGTAACCGTGTAGTTGTCCGGAATGCTGCAATTGGTTGCGAATGAAGTCAACCAGGACTCCCAAGTCATTGAACGTTTTCCGACGAAATAGTCCTCTTTGGTTCAGCACTCGCTTCAAATGTCTTTCGCTTATTTGGAAACCGTATTTAACATCAAGAACAGATTTAATGTCTTTGTATTTTAAGCCAATTTCAAAGTAAAATTCTATTAAACTCACGAACGGTTGAACACCCTCCATGATTGTTGTTTTGATGAGACGTACGATGACCCGGAAGCACATCAACGAGCATTAAAAATAAATAAATAAATAAAGGATTGCGAGATCTCGCAATACTTTGGAATACTTTGCGAGATCTCGCATTCTTTGCGAGATCTCGCAATACTTTGGAATACTTTGCGAGATCTCGCATTACTTTGCGAGATCTCGCATTCTTTGCGAGATCTCGCATTCTTTCTTTGCGAGATCTCGCATTCTTTGCGAGATCTCGCATTACTTTGCGAGATCTCGCAAAGTTTTTTTTTTTCCTTCCATGTCCCCTTAGGGGCTCCGTACTTTTCTGAGTGTCACTGGAGTGATCATTAATTTCCGTTTTTGGAAGCTGTCTTTGAACGCCTCTCGAGTCGAACTAGAGGGGAGAAGACACGGAGTCGGACGCTGAGGTGTCTGTGCCTTCCATGTCCCCTTAGGGGCTCCGTACTTTTCTGAGTGTCACTGGAGTGATCATTAATTTCCGTTTTTGGAAGCTGTCTTTGAACGCCTCTCGAGTCGAACTAGAGGGGAGAAGACACGGAGTCGGACGCTGAGGTGTCTGTGTTTGTCGAGAATGTTAAAAGCATAAATAAAGTCTACGTTTTCAAAAACCAACACCACAACTGTCCTGCAACGTGTATCTATATGAGCCAGTGGCGGATGCTGGTCTGTCAAGGAGGGGAAGCTCAATTTTGGCCTAAATCATAAAATGTGTCCGTTTATTTTTTATACATGGATTCTACTCTCCGTTCCTTTTCAAGAAAATTATCTGTGACCCTGTCATACCAACCAGGCGTTTTTTCCAGGGACTTAACTAGCGTCCTACGACTACAGTAAAAACAATAAAACCCACCAGAAATAAAAGATTAATTTGTCGCTAGTCGTTTTCAACAAAGAGTGTCGCTCGGACGTCTCCAGTTCAACTCAAAACAGAATAAGAATTGAAAAATGCTCCCACAAGGCCTACACCAAACGATCGGTGATTGGCTCATTTTGCTGTCAATCAAAAAGAGACTCCGCCTCAGACAGATCATCCAATCATCATGGAGAAAAGCCCAGCATCGGGCCAGTCCATAAACGCCCACCGTCCATAGACTCCCAGAGACGCTGAGCGTCCGATGGGCGGGACAAAATCAGCAATTATCTAATGACTCGTCTCGTTTCAATGCATTGGGACAACCTACACAGAACTCTCTCGACGCCCAGCGTCCACACAGTTGAAAGCACAGTGAAGTTGCGAGAATGAATAAGAGTTGCGTAACCAGTAATAAGAAGCTGATTCGGAAAAAAAGTTGAGCGCGTTGTAGCGCATATTTAGTCAATGACATGTTCACACAATTGTTTGTACACACATGAATTTGATCACTTATTTTTTTGGACGTTTTAGGGGAAGCTGAGCTTCCCTTGTAGTCTTAGAGCAATCGCCTCTGATATTATATATATATATATATATATAATTGTGAATGCATGCTGCTTGACGAGCCTATATTATGTTAATGTATTTGACGTCACTGAAGGCCTAAGGTTGAAATGCACGGCCCGCCACTGATACTTCCCCTCCTTGACAGACCAGCATCCGCCACTGATATATATAGTGTACAGTATACAGTACTGTATTGGAGCAGACGCTTTTGAGCTCATCCAGGAAACAGTAACTGAGCTTAACCATCCCCTCCACTCGATGTCGCTCTTCAACTTTTTGTCACGATTGCACAACAAAGAGCAAGAAACTGTGACGTAATTCCCTTGGCTTGAATTTGTGATCCTTGTAAGCTAGCGTTTTGTTTTTGTATGTAACCTTTTTAAGAAAGAGGAGTCTAATCGAGTCTTAAGTGTTGGATAGATAACTAGGTAAGGTAACCAGTTCGTCTGTCAAACATTAACGAGATATAAACTCTTTCACCATCGTCAAGGAATTGCGACTGAGCTAAGATAAATACACGTATTTACGTCAGTGTGGAGATATTTCTGGTCAACTTTTGCATGTTTTTGAAGTCTGAATCGTTCCACCGATGTGCCGTGATGCAGGTTAAGTCATGACCGAACAGAACAACGGGAACGCCGCTGTGGAGGGCGTCGTGGACCTGGATGAGCCCAAGAAGATGACCCGGGAGGACTGGAGGAAGAAGAAGGAACTTGAGGAACAGAGAAAGCTGGGAAACGCTCCAGCTGAGGTGGACGAGGAGGGCAAGTAAGTAAATTCAAGTAAACTATTTACATTTCGTGTGTTTCTCAGCAGTGTTTGTGTACCTACAGTAATCATTTACTGTACGGGATCGGACCTTATTACAAAGTACAGTATCAGGTTCTCGTGAATGATACCAGCCACTTAGACATAAGGCAATAAATAAATAAATAAATAGCATCAACTAAATATTCCTCCTCAGTAATTGATGCCACCCCGTGGCGGACTAACGCATCGGAGAATCAATGTGCATCTGAAAGAAATACTGTATCTTTTTTCAAGATTACCTGTAATTGTGTTAACAGATATTTGTTCTATCAAAAGTACTAGTAGTATTTGGTTCTTGGTCGTGGTGAGTACTCAAGAGTACTTGTCCTGGTATCGTTCGGAAAACAATGTGGTATCGAAAGCCACTAAACGAAACAAGAGAGAGTCAAACAATCAAGATAAAACTAAACCATTTAATTTCATCTAATGAAGGTGAACTATCTTAATGTTAATATATAATGCAAAATGCCATAGATATGCTCATGGCAATTAGCAAAGATGTTATGGTAATTCTCGTCCTTCAAACAACTGCTGCACAGAGCAGCAATAGAGCTTCGGATGTCGACGAGACTATTCCTGTGTGCATTTTTTTAATGCAGCCATATTGGCAGTATAGCGATGCCTGCACCCCAAGGACGAACAACGGAGAACAGTGTTAAAGCCATGCAGTCCGTTGTGAGATGTGTGACTTCAACGTCCGGAGCTCTGGACATAAAAACAGAGCACACAACACAGACAACCATCATATATTCTCTACTTTTTGGGAACAATAAATATTAAAATGGCAAAACACGGTACTGAACTGCACTGAGGAGGTATCCTCATCTTCTTCTCTGAATCATCATCTCTGAATTTTACCTCATTTGTAGCTAGTAGACCCCAGAGATGCCCAGCATGCTGTATCACAGTCATATGACACTGAACTCTAAATTTGTGTTTGACTGATTACTTCTAAAACCTGAAAAAAAAGATTGTTTATTTGTGAGCGAGGGAGGGGGGTGAAAAGCAAACTCTTTTCTGTCCATCGTGTGTCATCATATAACTAAATTACCATCTTTTGGTCCGGATCATCATCATGTGTTCTTTGTTTCACTACTTTTCTAGGGACATAAACCCGCACATCCCTCAGTATATTTCCTCCGTGCCGTGGTATATTGACCCATCCAAAAGGCCCACACTTAAACATCAGAGACCACAGAGGGAACTTCAAGAAAATTATTCTGCCATTGGAGAATGGTATAAAAGAGGAGTGCAAGAGGTGAGAAGAAACAAGCCACTATTTAGAAATAGGACAAATAGAATTTTTAATTAAATGACTTGACTCATGTCAACTTTCCCAACAGAACACTCTTGCTACAAAATTCCGCAAGGGTGCCTGTGAAAACTGTGGCGCAATGACACACAAGAAGAAAGATTGTTTGGAGGTAAACTGACTTAACAGTCTTTCAATCAAAGGAGGCGATATTGTAAATTGTTCCACGATGACCTTTTAATTGATGCCTTTTCTTTTCTCAGCGACCTAGAAAAGTCGGGGCAAAGTTCACAGGTACAGGTATCGCACCAGATGAACATTCTCAGGTGCAACTCAAACTGGATTACGACGGAAAGAGAGATCGTTGGAATGGCTACGACCCAGAGGAACACCAGCGCATAGTGGAGGAGTATGCCAAAGTGGATTTGGTAAGAAGTTTCACTTAACTGTTGGTGGACTGTATGAGAAATCAAGTTTAATTTCAGGTAACCAGGAACAAAAATATCATGGTCTTGAACTTATAACTCTAAAATGTCCTTTTCTGATATCTATTCGGGGAAATAAAAACATTTGTTTTTCTCCATTGAACACAATCTATTATATTTCTAAAACAAAACACAGAAAATTTGGTACGGTAAGCAAACCTTGTTAAAATCAGGAAGGAAATACTAACATTCTTCAGTTTCATTTTGTCTTAGTTAATCACTGGTGAGCTACGTTTAGAACAGACCCGAGGGGGCTAACTGCTGCTGGATCGGCATAACAAAAAGTCATCAGTGTAATTAGTTGCTCTCGCTCATCTCCCTCCCTCTCCTGTTCTTTCTGTGTGGGCTGAAACTGCTCACCTCTCCCCTCTCTGCTCAGCCGTGAAGGAGAAAAAAAAACAAAACGTGTGTGGCCTCTCATATTTGAAGGCCAATCATTAACTTAAAAAAATCAGACTCGTTTTGTTGTCTCTGCAAGCAGCCGATTATATTGCAGCTAAACGTGGCCTGCTTGGAAATAAAAATAAAAAAACCCGCAAAAGCTAATTATGGACAGTTTTAGCAGGTTTTGAAAGCTTGACATTTTAAAACCGTGAACTGTCAAAGCCAAAATCGACCTATGCCTTGCTACATGTAACTCAAATTGTATTTTGCTCACATTAGATGCACGTTTCTGCATCAATCTACACAAACATCTCTTTTGACTTAAGCGATTATTTGATCATGTCCTATTTGTTCACTCGGCAGGCCAAAAGGACACTGAAGGCTCACAAGCTTCAGGATGAGTTGGCTTCAGGGAAGCTAGACCAATCGGTAAGCGTTCTGGACCCCCTGGACAACGACCTTAAGTTCTAACCATGGAAAGCACATTTGATATGTGGTATCTTTTTTTCTGTAGGAGCGGGAACATGACAGCGAGGATGAGGATGAAGATAAATACGCAGATGATATCGACATGCCCGGTCAAAACTTCGACTCCAAGAGACGAATCACTGTCCGGAATTTGCGTATCAGGGAAGACACAGCTAAAGTAAGAGGCGCCTGACCAATGTGCTTATATCACTGTTATAATCCTCTATATGTACATTCATGCGGCCCGATGGTCCAGTGGTTCGTGCGTCGACCTCACAGTGCAGAGGTCGTGGGTTCCATCCCGACTCCAGCCTTCCTGTGTGGAGTTTGCATGTTCTCCCCGGGCCTGCGTGGGTTTTCTCCGGGTACTCCGGTTTCCTCCCACATTCCCCAAAACATGCCTGGCAGGCTGATTGAACACTCTAAATTGTCCCTGGGTGTGAGTGTGAGCACGGATGGTTGTTCGTCTATGTGCACCCTGCGATTGACTGGCAACCAGTTCAGGGTGTACCCCGCCTACTGCCAAAGATGGCTGGGATAGGGGCTCCAGCATGCGCGCGACCCTCATGAGAATAAAGTGGTTCGGAAAATGGATGGATGGATGGATGGATGGATATTGATATGAATTTTTGTTTGCCACAGTATTTGAGGAATCTGGATCCAAACTCTGCCTACTATGATCCCAAAACCCGCGCAATGAGAGAAAACCCGTACTCCAGCACTGGCATGAACCCCGATGAGTAAGTTACTGAAATAAGACTTGAACATCGAAAATACTTTAAAAGAAATGAAATAATTTCATTTTAGGCTCAACCAATTGTCATCATAAAACCTTCAGGAACTTGACAGGTATTTTTACAAGTACAAAAAGAAGTGAGGTATTCAATTATAAAGCTAAAATAAAGGAATCAGCCATTCATGATGCATGAGACGTGTTTAGCATAAATGAAAATGTACTTTTAAAAAAAAAAGTATAAATACATTTCTTTTTAAACTTATCATCTCTTCTGTCAAATACCACAGGCGTTAATTTAAAAAAAAAGAAAAAAGCATAAACAGCCTTTTTGTTGGTTGCTTTCGCAGCATGCTTTGGGTCATTGTCCATCTGCATTGTGAAGTGCCATCCAATGAGTTTTGAAGTATTTAGCCCAATATGAGCGGATGATTTTGTCCGAAACACTCTGAAATTCATTCTGCTGCTTTTTGTCAGCAGTCACATCATCAATAAATATAAGAGGTACAGTTGCACATCTCTTTGGCCTTCATATTGAAAGATAACCTCACCACATTCCAAATAAATATAGCACAACTGAAATTAATTCTCTGCCTTTTTTTTCTGCTCCTTATAAGTGTAATAATGAGGGGACGACACATACCTGGTCATGGAATAGCTGAGCTGCCAATTGTCCAATTACTTTTGGTCTCTTAAAAAGGTGGAGCCACATATAAAATGTGTGGTAATTCCAACATCATTCACCTGATTTGAATGTAAATACACTAAAATTAAAGGTCAAAGTCTGCACTTGAAGCAGATCATGATTGTTTCCTTGTAACTCTATTGTTGAGTTGCACAGAGCTGGAATGCTGAAAATGATGTCAATGTCCAAATACTTACAGACCTTACTGTATATTGGAGCACAGTTGGCACCAGTGCTCCTTTATATTCTTTAGTCCACAGCACTGTCATGTAACAGATTTAAAAAAAAAAAAAAACACACACACTTTAAGAAGTTACGCTCTGGTCATGGGCGTACTTGTCACCATTATAATAAACTAGCCACAAATTCGAAAGTAGTCCGAATTAACAGAACCCAATCCTCGGGGTGCACAGGGCTAACATCATGTTAGTAAGGCTAAGCTACAACCGATTTCATCTCACTGATTTGTGCTGCATTAATGTTTACAAGGGCCCGACTGACGTGGATTTTTTTGAGATCACCAATGATCCCGATATTTGACAGAATGAAATTCCAATAAACGATTAATCGGCCAATTGAATACAAATCTATATACTTATATGTAGAGATGCTACAACGCGGAAGATGTGTTGTTGTAGTATGGTCTTCAACGGCAAAAAAAAAAAAGTTAAATTGGTGTTGAATTGCTTCAAGCCTCAGTTGATACCCAGTGATATTCCATTTGGCTTTTGTTTACAGAGTGGGATATGCTGGAGACAACTTTGCCCGCTATAGTGGTGACACCATCACCATGGCTCAAACACAAAGTAAGTCACAAAGAAACCTCGAATAATCAGGCGAACATGAACAGTAGTTACATTAACAGCCACATCAGTGAGCGTTAATTTCAACTGATGTCATGCATATCTACGGCCTCCTGAAGTGTTTTAATGCGTTCTCCTGCTAGTGTTCGCTTGGGAAGCCTACGAGAGGGGCTCTGAAGTGCATCTGCAAGCTGACCCCACCAAGCTGGAGCTGCTTCATCGGTCCTTTAAGGTCAAGAAAGAAGACTTCAAAGAGCAACAGAGGGAGAGCATCCTGGAGAGGGTACGCTGCTTGCATTTAATCTACGGAAATGTGTCTAAATTAATTGCTCAGACAGAGCGACATCAAAAATACTTTGGGCCGGATTTACCAATATCCCCAATTTCTGTGTGTGTATCAGCCATGTGTGTGGAGAGAGTTTAAGGAAACTGATGCCCCTGTGTGGGACAAATAAAGGAAATCTTATCTTATTTTTAGGTGACTGCAAATTATGTTCTGCAAAATGTCATAGGTGGAGACATCTTTAAAAGTGCCATTTTAGCCATTGAACTAATTTGCTGTTGTTTGTGGGTTGTGCAAATGAAGCTCTGTTTCAGGTAATGCCATGCATTCCTGTTCCAGTTTTGTTGTTTTCTGACAGTTTTTCACCACTTTGTGAGAAACATTTTTTGTTTTCTAATCTTTGCTATGTTAGTGTTGTCATGTTGTATTGACAGAATTAAAAGTTATTCACCGTACGAATGACTATATTTGAGTGAAACATGCTATGCTTGAGAAAAAGTTTGTTTTTGAATAATATTTGATTAGCGTTTGATTTTCATCACTATTTCAAGATGTAATGCCATTATCAATTGTCGGGACAGAGTGTATCTGTGAGTACTCAAATGTAAATACTTGTTCAGTCTTAAAAAGTGATATTATTGCATCTTTGGTTTTCACCATGGTTTGCATTGATGGAATTGGAAATGTTAGTGGGAGCGAATAATTTTGGGGAAGCCAGTAGCTGCATCAAAGCCTATTCTTGTTGTATTTAACTTGCGTGGCAATTACACGACTCTCCCCATTCTGTGTAACATTGGTTTTAAGACTTTGGAGCTCCCACCTGAACAACTGGTCTTGTAAAGGCCAACATCAATTAGCACCACAATGAAATGACCCAAACGCAAAATTCAAGTCAGCCCTCAGATCATTGAGAAGCACCAAAAGTGCATTGCTAAACAAGCCATATTTCGCAAATTTTCGTTTCTAGCATTTCAAAACTGTTTTCCTGTATTTTAAAAAATCCACTATAATGATCATCCTAGCAAAAGACGATGTTCAGTTGGTGTTGTTGCATGACTGTTTCTTGTGTGTCCATTAGTATGGAGGCCAGGAGCACTTGGACGCACCCCCGCGGGAGTTGCTGTTGGCTCAGACCGAAGACTACGTGGAGTACTCTCGTCATGGCGCCGTCCTGAAAGGTCTCGAGAAAGCTGTGGCTCGCTCCAAGTATGAAGAAGACGTACTCATCAACAATCACACCGTAAGGATGGCCGAGCATGCTTTGATGGGATTGTGACTGGCTTCTGTTTTCCTTGACCAAAATGTTGTGCTGCTCAGTGTATTTGGGGCTCCTACTGGAAGGATGGCTTCTGGGGATACAAGTGCTGCCACTCCATGGTCAAACAAAGTTACTGCACAGGAGATGCTTGCATTGGAATTGTGAGTGCTGAGGGCACTACCATGCTTTTTTTTTTTTTTTTTTCCTGGTGCACGTTGACCTTGTTACTCACGTATTATTATTTTTTTCAATCTTGAAGAGCAACTCTGAGTGTGTTCCGTTCGAAGACGGTGTGAATGAAATGCAAGAGGAAGAGCAGCCCAAGACTCTGCTGGAGGTATGAGATACTAATACTAAGTAGGCCTGAGCTAATAATTGAAATGGAATCTTCATTTTTCCATTTGGGGTTTCTCACAATCATAAAAATATTAAAATGAAAGAAAAAATATGAATGTGCCAAAAGAGCAATGTGTCCTGACAAGTTTCGACATTGTGAATGGAGCCCGATGAGCAAAATCGACCCCTTGTTCTGTCATTGCTTGCAACCATCAGATGCACCAAGAAAAAATGAAAGAGAAGAAAAAGAAAAAGAAGTATAAAAAGAATAAGAAGCACGTCAGCAGCGACAACAGTGATTCAGAGGATGAAGAGAAAAAGAAAGAGAAGCTGAAGAAGGTAAAAGCGTTTGCTTATCCACGGCGTACTGCCCGTCGCTTTCCACTGTTTCCATTTTGCTGACCCATTTTGTCTTTGCAGGCTCTGGAAGCAGAAGACAAGCGTGTGAAGCATGTGGAAGCAATGATGCAGCTGGACGAAAGGAAGAGGCCGTACCACAGCCTGCAGGAAGTCAAGGCCCCCACTGAGGAGGAGATCGAGGCCTTCCGCATGAAACGCTGTCGGCCAGATGATCCTATGGCTTCCTTTCTTGGACAGTGACGTCTCCCTCTTCTCCGCTGCTGCCCCCGCAAAACTTTCGCCTGGAGCTTTGCCGGAGCTGTTGCTCAGTGAAACAGTGTCTCACACAATACACTCAAATTCAGTCTCACAAACGACCGCACGTGATTGGGCATTTCCAGGACTATGGAAGACACATTTTCTTTCTTTTTAACTAGATTGCATTCATACAAAACTGCCCCCACAGTAACTACAGTCAAATAAAAATAATTATAGTGTTATGCTTTTTTTTCTAATAAAACGACTTTGCTGTATATATTTTACTTTTATTTATGTTTTGTAACTTTTCAGGGGAAGACAATCAAGGTAAGAACTGAAACGTTTATCATACCTAACACTAAATATTGTGACATTTTTCACACCACATTTTGTCCATTTTCCGTAGCTGTTATCTTCATTAGTGAACGGTGGGTCGGAGGTGAGAGGTGAGGTACATCTTGGGCGGGTCGCCAGGCATGTACAGTGGACAACCAGTCACACTCATATTTCCACCTATGAATGATTTGGAGCCTTCAGCTCATTTAATATGCAACAACCCAACCTCTGCGAGTAAACACCAACTCCAAGAAAGCTGGAGCCAATATTTGAACCGAAGAACTATGAGGCAAAAGTGCGAATCACTAGTTCACCATTTTACCATTGTCAACATATTTATTGACTGGAAAAAGTCGAGTTTGGTTGAGGGCTGCAACTAACGTTTATTTTAATAATGCATTAATCTGTTGATTATTTCCTCAATTGATGAACTGGATTTAAATACGTTTAATTTCAATCCCGTTATTCAAAAAGAAGACATTAATTCACACTGACGGTGCAGAAAATGCCCCCCCCCCCAAAAAAAAAAACACGAATTATATTTTGTGACTTGTTTGCTCTGTAACAGGACAGGAAAAGGCCTTTTTTTCCCAAAGGAAAAAAGTAAATGTTTTCTAATGATTCAACACAAAGACAAGTCTGCTTGTATGAAGGACTACAGAAATCTGAGAACATTTAATGTTGCGAGGTTGAAATTCCAAGGATTTGGACAGATCTCAATCAATATAGGTCTTGAAACGATTAATCGATTATCTCAAAGCATTATTGATTCATTTGATAATTGACTGATTCATTCAGCTCTCGTTTGGTTACATTCTGTTGCAAAGCCACAGGGTCGATGGTGAATATGACCTTAGCAATGTATATATTTTTTCAACCGGCTCGTTTTTTTGAAGATAAAGGTGATGAGTATTTGGATTTAATCTGATGTTCTGTATTATTGATTTTAATTTCTGAACATGCGTTTCCAATTTCTGTTCATGTGGTGTCAGTTCAATGTGAATACGGTGGTATACCGACACGCCCATTCCCCCCAACAGCTGGACCATGTATCACACTGACAAATCCCTCCGGAATTGTTTATGCCCCTGTTGCAGTCATGAAGAATTTGAAACTTTGAAGTTTAATCATTTCTATTTTACATTCATGCAGTTCTTGGTTCTAAATCATAATGACTTCAGCTGTGCAAAACCGTTGCTCTGACTTGAATTTAATGACGTCATGGTGAAAGCATTTGTTGTTTTTCGAGAGGCTGAATAGCTGGGCGGATGTTATAGACTGCGAGTCACTGACTTGCACATTTCCTTGCAGCGCTTCTCCGAATGAATACGCTCTGATTTGATGATTGAAAAAAAGTCATGAGAGACCGATTGCGACCTGATGCAGAAGACAGACAGTGAGTGTGGTGAAAGAGCCCATCATTTTCAACGAGTGAGTTTGTTGACTACTTTTAGAGAATCACTGAATATAGCCTCAGTTCATTTGAACTGCCTAAGTTTGCATGTTTTATAAACTGCACTGAATAGTTGGTCTTAAATGACATTTTCTCAATCCTTTTGTGACTCCTCAGTGGCCGCAGTGCTTCATGTGTGTATGATGACTTGTCTGCTCGTGGTGGTCCTCGGCCAGTCCATTTATTCCTCACCCAAGAAAGGACGCAACATCACTATCCACTCTTCCAATCTGGTTTGTAGCCTGCCGGGCCCGTTGGGGCCTGCGGGAAATCCAGGAGCCCCGGGATCACCCGGGGCAATCGGGCCGATGGGTGCACCTGGGAAGGACGGTCCAGATGGGCAGGATGGAGAGAAGGGAGAAAAAGGAGATGGAGGTACTTAATAGTTGGGGGCGGGTTGTTTCCTGCTGACCATTTATCGGGGCCCTGATAAAGGAGGTACTGGAAGCTTAAAACAAGAGTCCGTAGCAACAGCAGAGTAGGCTGTTTGGCGTCAGCAATGAATATTTGTTTTTCATGATACATGTCTGTTATGAATCCCCAATTTCTAACGGACATCTGATGTTTATTGTGATTTTTTTTTCATTGTTTGGATAATGTACAGTACTTACTAACTGTATTGCATACTTAATTCTACATTGTAGTCATGCTGCTTATTCCACAGATGCATGTTACTTAAAAATGTCTCTGGTAGCAGCATTGGTTTAAAAAAGTAAACAAACAAAAACTTCCATATCATATGACAAAGGGGAGGGGGGGGAACATCATTAAAATGTCTTAGATAATGATTTGAGCCATCTTCAGGCCACAGGGAGAATATACGCTGCATGAGGTAAATTAAGTTGATTTAAACATAGATGTGGTGAAAATTGATGCATCCTAATATGATGACTGAGGGAGTGGATAATTAATTGGTGTTGAAATGGATAGCGTGCTATGGAGATGGGGTGAGCCAACTGGCTTGTTTGCTAAACTACAAACGCAATCATTGTTTCAGTTCACATCAGCAGTCAGTGACTCCTGGCATCTATTGTCAACAAACATTATGAAAAAGTTTATCTTTCTCGCAACTGTATATACCTACTCATGCTACCCGATGTTTATAAAAAGCTACACCTCTTGTTATTTCTTCCCCAGGTGATCACGGCAGGCCCGGAAATCCAGGCAAACCAGGCTTAAAAGGCCGCCCGGGCCTCATTGGCAAGGCTGGACCTCGGGGACTAAAGGGCCAACGGGGGTCACCGGGGCCAGCAGGACAAAGGGGCCAGAAAGGAGATGAGGGGGATGTGGGTCATAGAGGAGAAGCGGGAGGCTGCGATTGTGGCACACACGCCCGCTCGGCTTTCTCGGTGGCCGTGTCAAAGAGTTATCCCAAAGAACGCACGCCCATTCGCTTCAGCCGCATCTTGATCAACGAGGGCAATCACTACAATGCGAGCAGCGGGAAGTTTGTGTGCGCCATCCCTGGAGTCTATTACTTCACCTATGACATCACCGTGGCCAACAAGCACCTTGCAATCGGGCTGGTGCACAACGGACAGTACAAGATTAAGACGTTTGATGCAAATACGGGAAACCACGATGTGGCGTCCGGTTCCACTGTCCTCCACCTGCAGCATCTGGACCAGGTCTGGTTGCAGATCTTTTACTCAGAGCAAAATGGACTCTTCTTTGACCCCTTCTGGACTGACAGCACCTTCACAGGCTTCCTCATCTATGCTGATCAGGCTGATCCATAAGTGTTAATTTACCTGATGACACTTGATACTGTATTTCAATTGACTGGGGTTTTTTTCTCCATTCTTTTCTCTACATCTCTCTATCCCTGTTTTTTAAAGGGGAATTCAAAGAAAAAAATATTCTTTGCAAAAATATGTTTTATGCGCCCTCGTGTGTCTAAGACACGGTAGTTAGATACATATTGCATTCATAAAATAAGCAGAAAGAAGAGGAATGCATTTTCATCAATCTGAATTTCTCATCACCGTCCCCTACTGTCCACAGAAATTGACGTCCAGGTGCCCTCGGGCACTCATTGCGAACATCACGACCAAACCTTGAAAACAGATGACCTGAGACATTTGCAATGGGAGCCAGAAGGCACTTTGATAAGCATTTCAGTCAATGGCAGAGGGCTGTGTAATATAAAAAAATAATACTAGTAATAAATTTAAAATGTCAAGAAGTTGAATGTTCCATTTTCACACCTGTTATTTTAAATTTTCCCCCCAAAAGTTGAACATTTGTCATGCTGTTTTTTTTTTTTTTTGTACTTATTGAATACTTGTACAAAGTTGAATGGTACAAGCTATTGGCTATTTCCCTGCAAAATAATAACATGACAAAGTTGAATGTTAGAAGCGAAATAAAAAAGTTTAATTACATTTTCTTTTTTTTTTTTTTTTTTCAATTCTT